GTCCCCGTTCCGCTGCCCGCGCGTGCTGCGCGTGCCCGCCTACCTGAGCTACCGCTTCCTGGGCGAGCGCGACTGCGCCGCGCCCTGCGAGCCCGCGCGCCCCGACGGCGCGCTCTTCTTCTCGCAGGAGGAGACGCGGTTCGCGCGCCTCTGGATCCTCACGTGGTCCGTGCTGTGCTGCGCCTCCACCTTCTTCACCGTCACCACCTACCTGGTGGACATGCAGCGCTTCCGCTACCCCGAGCGCCCCATCGTGTTCCTGTCCGGCTGCTACACCATGGTGTCTGTGGCCTACATCGCGGGCTTCGTGCTGCAGGAGCGCGCCGTGTGCAACGAGCGCTTCTCGGACGACGGCTACCGCACGGTGGTGCAGGGCACCAAGAAGGAGGGCTGCACGCTGCTCTTCATGGTGCTCTACTTCTTCAGCATGGCCAGCTCCATCTGGTGGGTCATCCTGTCGCTCACCTGGTTCCTGGCGGCCGGCATGAAGTGGGGCCACGAGGCCATCGAGGCCAACTCGCAGTACTTCCACCTGGCGGCCTGGGCCGTGCCCGCTGTCAAGACGGTGGCCATCCTGGCGCTGGGCCAGGTGGACGGCGACCTGCTGAGCGGCGTGTGCTTCGTGGGGCTGCACAGCCTGGACCCGCTGCGCGGCTTCGTGCTGGCACCGCTCTTCGTGTACCTGTTTGTGGGCACGTCCTTCCTCCTGGCGGGCTTCGTGTCCCTCTTCCGCATCCGCACCGTCATGAAACACGACGGCACGAAGACGGAGAAGCTGGAGCGCCTCATGGTGCGCATCGGCGTCTTCAGCGTGCTCTACACGGTGCCGGCCACCATCGTGCTGGCCTGCTACTTCTACGAGCAGGCCTTCCGCGAGCGCTGGGAGCGCTCCTGGGTCAGCCAGCACTGCCGCAGCCTGGCCATCCCGTGCCCCGCGCCCCACGCGCCGCGTGCCGCGCCCGACTTCACGGTCTACATGATCAAGTACCTCATGACGCTCATCGTGGGCATCACGTCGGGCTTCTGGATCTGGTCTGGCAAGACGCTGCAGTCGTGGCGCAAGTTCTACGCGCGCCTGGCGCGGAGCCGGCGCGGGGAGACCACGGTGTGAAAGCGCGGGGCTACGACAGACCCCACCCTGGAGCCGTCCTTGCCCCCTCGAGGTTTGTAATTAGAACTGTAAATAGTCTTTGCAAATGTAATTATATATTTTCTATTTAAAAAAAAAAAGAGAGAAAAAAAGAACAGGAGGACTCCCCGGCTGAAGACAGTACGGTGCCCAAGGAGCCCGCCCGGGGCTGGGATCTGGGGGTCTCCTGCGGGTCCTGGGGGACCCAGGAGCCGGTTCCTTGCAGCTGCGCCTGGAGCCAGTCCTGCCGCCTGTGCTTTCGCGCGGCCTGCGGAGCCGCGGGATGACTTGGATCCTTTCCACATTTCCCTCCCTCCGCGTTTGTGCTGTCCCCCTCACGCGGTGCTTGGAGACCTCCTACCCGAAGGGAAAAAAAGAACAAAACAAACGCGGGCGGAGGCGGGAGCGGACGGTGGGCCCGGCCCAGCGCCCTCACCTGCAGCCTGAAGGTCTACCGCATCTTCCCGCGGCTCCGGCACCAATCACCCGCCCCCGCGCCCCACTTTGGTCCAGGTCCTCTCCTCTGCCTGGGTTTTTAGGGTCCCCCTAGCCTTCGAACTGGGTGGAAACTCTGGAGTTTTGAGACCCTACGTCGCTCCCCTACTTTCCCTGCAGTCTGCGCTGCCCTCAGCCGAGGGAAACTCCTCCCTCGGGCGCGGTAGCAGCTTCGGGGTTGGTTTGTGAGTTATAAGTGGAGTTTTATTGTCGTTTGGGGCCTTTCTTTGTTTCTATTCCAAAAAAGCAGAAAATGGGTTGCAGTGGAGGAAGGTACTGATGGGGTGGTGGGATTTTTTAGTTTATTCTGACAAAAGACTGGTTTCTTTTCAAACTTGTCCAGAAGAAAAAAGAAGGGAAAAAGAAGTGGGTGGCTGCCCCGGGAGAGGCCCGGCAGCGGGGGCCGCGGGCCGGGCGGTGGGATGTGGAACAGATGTTTCTTATCTTCCCCTCCCCCCAAATAAAGCAGAGACTTTCCCTCCGTGCTGCCTGCCGAGCGGCGCAAGGAGCGTCTGCCGGCCGCCAGCACCCGCTCCCTCGACGCCGGGGAACATTTTAGAAGTTTGATTCCACAGGACTGGTCGGAAGACGACTCGGCCGGCTATCTCGGCTTTCCCACCTCCTACTTCTTGATAATCGTGCAAATTAGAAGCTAATAATCATAATAATAAAGTGCATTTAACTATCTTCCCGAGATCTAGCCCTTTAATTGCGTTTAACAGGGTTGTAACTTTTTATGAGCTTTACCAAACCGCACCACCCCTCCCCCTCCTCGGGGTGGGGGCGGGGCGGGGCGCGCTTCGGGGCCGACTTCGTGCTTTTCTCGCCGAAAAGCGACAGGAAAGGGAGCCTTGTCCTCCTTTGTTGGCTGACCTGGGACGGGAGAAAGTGCCTGGGACCCCTGGGACGGCGTGTGGCTGGCGCTGGGGGAGGGGAGCCGGCCCCTGCTAATTGAAGTCAGGTGGGGAGCGCAGCGGCCCGGGATTCCAGCGCAGCCCCCGGCCCTGCGCAGGCCAGAGGGCGGTGTGTGCCGCCTCCCCAGCTTCCCGTGACTGGCAGCGGCCGGCGAGGGCTGTCACTGTCACCGTCCCTGGAGCTGCGCGGTCTGAAGGACGCACGGGCTCCAGGAAAGTGAAGCACAAACTGAGTGTCTCGCAACCCTGGCGAGAGCCTAGAACGCCGGGGCTCTGCGCCAAGCCCAGGGAGGAGAGGGCTGCGGGTCCCCCATCTCTGAGCCCCCCGTGTCGGCTTTGTGTGCGCTGGGCGAGACGCCCGCCAGGGACACCGCCTCTATCCCAGTGCTGGGTGGGGCCACCTTGGTAAAGCGGGTCCTTCTGCCCACCCCCCAGCCTAGGGGGCCCCCTGGGATGGGGATTAAAATTGAGCTAGTGGGTAGATTATAGCATCTCTTTTTCTTCCCGGGGTGCTGCCGGTGGAACCCAGCCCCTCACGCATGTCAGGCAGAGCTCTGCCCCCCGCTGCCCCCGAGCCCCTGACTGTTTTGAGAGGCGCACGTCTTGCACTTGGCTTCCCCTTTGTTCCCTGGCAGAGTAGTGAGGCGCCGCTCGCACCCCACTTCCAGTTCCTTTCAGGAACAGCTTTCCACCAGTGTGGCAGGACCGGGCTGGGGGCACCCTGACCTGACCACCCGCTCCAGGCTGCACCCTGAGAACCCAGTTAAAGATGAGGGTTGGCAGGCCCGGGCGGCGCACGCCTGTAATCCCAGCACGGAGGGAGCCGGCAGGATGGCAAGTTTGGGTCCCACCTGGGTAACTTAGTGAACCCGTCTCAAAAGGCGGGTGCTCAGTCTCGGAGAACCCTGGGTGCGGCGCTCCGCACCACAAGCAATCCAAGCCCCAGCCGCGCGGGAGGGGTGCACGTACAGCCTTAGGCCCTGCTAACTGAGCTCTGCAGAGCACGGGCAGGGAAGGTCCTGAGCCCGTGGCCGGGAGGCGCCGGCAAGAAGCCTAGGCGCTGCTGGTGCTCCAGGCCCTGCTTCCTCTGCTTCCTGCTCGGTCACCCCTCCGAGCGCCACCTCGCGCCCGGACCCTGCTTGCTGAGGCGCAGACCCCTTACCCTCTCCTCCCCCCGAGAGGCCCCGCCCTCCCCGAGAGGCCCCTCCCTCCCCGAGAGGCCCCGCCCCTCCCCGAGAGGCCCCTCCCCTCCCCGAGAGGCCCCTCCCCGAGAGGCCCCTCCCTCCCCGAGAGGCCCCGCCCCTCCCCGAGAGGCCCCTCCTCTCACGAGAGGCCCCTCCTCTCACGAGAGGCCCCTCCTCTCACGAGAGGCCCCGCCCCTCCCGAAGGCCCCGCCCCTCCCCGAGAGGCCGCCTTCGGGTGCCGCCGCAGTGAACACGCGATGTTGTCCCAGGCGAAATTCTGTGTCCTCAAGAGTGAGGAGCTCTGTGTCCCCCAGCAGCCTCAGACCTGTCTGGACTCGAGAAGGAGCACTGTCCTAGGTGCCGGAGACACACATGTGGGACCCACGTCCACACTCCTTCCGTTTCAGAGAACTGTCACCCCCACATTCTTTTTCTTTTGTGGTGCCGGGCATTGAATGCAGGGCCTCTGCACTGAGCTGAATCCTGAGTTCTTTTTATTTGTTTTTGAAATTTTTAGATCAGGGTCTTGTCAAATTGATCCCCTGCCCAGGCTGGGCTGGAACTTGTGATCCTCCTGCCTCAGCTTCCCAGAGTGCTGGAATTACAGCCATGGGCCACTGCACCTCTTGCTGCCGGCTGTAACTGGTGTCCCTCATCTACTTAATCACCTTCCTTACCTGTAAGTGGACCTCAAACTCTGGGGCCTGGGGTGTTGCATGGCAGTTGAGCAGTTGCCTAGTATATATGAGGCCTTGGGCTCCCTCCCCACTACCACAACAACGGGGAGGTCTTGGAGGGGTGACTCTCCAAGAATCTAATAAATCTGTTGACCTCCTGGAAAAAAAATAGCCAGACCTGTGTGAACACACTTTAGTTTTTTGAGACAAGGGCTATGTAATCCAGGCTGACCTTGAACTCACAGAGATCCTCCTGCCTCATCCTCCCAAATACTGAAATTACAGGTGTGTACCACTGCACCCAGATGCATGTGAATGATCCAGCAATGAGTGTAGGAGGCTGCTGAACATTCTATCCACATCCTCTCCCCACCACTCTCCTGCCCCAGCTCCTTCCAGCCACCTGCTGGGTTTCCTATTCCCAGTCTCCCTACCTCTGCTACAGATGTGGATTGTGAACAGAAGGATCAGCCTGCAGCGACACTGGCTGAACCCAGTGTACTGGAGAGGCCTGGGCTCCAGGGGGCCTCGTCCTGAGGCCTGGGCCTTGGGCTGCACACAGACACGGAATCTGGAAGGGGTCAACTTCTCCAGCCCCTGGGTGAATTCCAGAGCACAAGCTTGGACGGAAGGCTGTCCCTGTCCCTGGGGCTCCTCACCTGTTGCCACGGCTGTTTTCCGCTCCCAGCTGTCCCCAGCTCCGGGTGCCAGCCTAGAGCGCCTTGGGGGTGGCAGTGGTTTGTCCTCCCTCTGTCCTCTGATGAGAACAGAAATGTTGCTCGCCTGGGTGAGCAGAGCACGCGGCCATTGCCTCTCCTGCCTGGGCTTCCAGGCTAGCTAATGGGGCGGGGTCTGGCACTGCTGGCTTCCCTGCCCCGCCCTTGCCCCTTGGTCTCCTCACAACCCGAGACCCGGAAGAGCTGTGGCAAAAGTGACAAGAGGACAAGACAGGACATGCCCCGAGATGCCACCTCCTCCTTCCCAATGGGGCCCAAAGGAGCTGGCCTGGCTGAGTTCGAGCCGCAGGTGCTGTTTGAAGCAGAGCCCTCAAAACTGACAGCCTCTCAGCCTTGCCTTGAGCCAGCTGTCCAGAGGGTCCTGCTGGGGTGACCAGATATCACCCCAACCTGGTGGAGCGGGAAGGGAGCAGGGCAGGGGTCAGGAGCCTCAGGGCATTGTCGCGGCTTGCAGCTCCGTGGGTGGGCAGTGAGGCCAGTTGGAAATAGCCCTGCTCTAACCCCAGCTAATACCCAGCCCTCCTGATCAAGGGAGGCAATGGAACAGTTCAGCCACAGCCCCCCAGGAAGCCCCATCCTCCCGCAGACCTCATTCTTATCTCTGTTTCCTGCAGAATGGGACATGGGAGGGGCCTGTTTTCCTCAGCAGGGTGACAGGGATGGCAGGAACCAGGGGTGAAGGTGAGAGAGGACACTGGCCGCCTCGTACAGTGGCCCTGGGCGTGTAGTGATTCTGCTGTGCTGTCCTCTGCCCACCCCCTGGGGTGGCTGGGGCTCAGAGAGTGCTCTGTGACCCCTGGCTGGGGGAGCAGAGGGCAGACGGGGGAGAGCTTGGGATTCTCTGGCCCACACTCCTGCACTGCCCAGCTGGTGTGGCTCCGGGCAGGGCTTGGTGCACAGGAGGCCCTGCATGTAATCCCAGCCCTACCAAACAAGAAGAGAAAGAAAGATGCTTGTGGGCCCCGAGGAGCGTCCCCACCCTGGCTCCTGCTGCACTCCCCAGGCCATTCGTCCTTGGGACCCTCAGGGTGCAGGGCCCCCAGGCTCTGCCCAGCTGCCCACAGCTGCCAGCTGGAGCATAGTCCTCAACCCCTGCACCGCCTGTGAGGGACAGTGAGGGAACTCACCTCGCAGCGACCCTGAGGTTGAAACAAACCAATTCTGCTGGGGTTTAAAGTTGGGCCCGGCACATAGTACATGCTCAATAAATGCTATTTAATGCATTCACATGTTGGCTCAGTGGAGTTCTTTGTTCTTGCTTTTTGTGATCTGGGGATTGAACTCAGCCTCACACACAGTAGGCAGGTGCTGTACCTCTAAGCTACATCCCAGCCTGGAACTGTACTTAGTACTTACTGTGAGGTGGGAACTTACTAAGCTCCACCTTGCACAAATTAAGTCCCTGAAAAAAAAATCAGTCTCTGGCTACACACAGCTCAAGGTCTTGTTTATTTCAGTTTCATCTGGATTGGGGTTTTTTGAGATAAGGTCTCACTGAGTAGTTCAGGCTGGCCTCAAACTCATGGTGATCCTCCTGCCTCAGCCTCTTGGATGCTGGGTTCCAGCTGGGCACCACTGCCCCCGCCACACTGATCACTGGTCAGGCCATGTCGGGTGCCGGTGCTGGAGCTTTGGCTGTGAACAGGGCACAGGGTTCCTCTCATCACAGAGCCTGCGCCGAGTGTGAACCTGGGGCCCTAAGTGCCACGAGAGCACTCTCCCTGAGGGAAGAGGACATAACCAGATGGTCACACACACAGGCCGGGTTGTGAGGAAACAGGACAGGCGTCCAGGGCAGAGCAACAGGCACAGCCTTGCAAGACCGGACACCAGTCTGCCAGAGGCGCGCACTGTGGGGGGAGTGCAGGCAGGCCCTGCAGGCATTCCCGTGCAACGCGGACGCAAGCTGACTTCTTCAGTGTGCGCCGCGCCGCCCTCACCCTGTGTCGTCCCATCCGGCCTGGAGCCTTCAGAACCAGGAGACAGCCGCGCGCACACCCGGGCCACAGCCTGGCGGTGAGGGCGGCCCTGCAGGGAAGTAGCCGACTGCAGCGTCGCATCCCTGCAAGGGGGTTCACAGGAGGAGCAGGCTCAGCGGGTTCCATCAGGGAGGACCCCAGGCAGGACGCCCGTGAGCTGTGAGGCTGGCGCGCAAGGGAAACCGCAAACCACCCCGGCGGCT